AGGATGGAGATATGTGCATCTTTTAGATTGATCGTGACACATCAGTCCTACTAGAGTGGGAGGCCCCGTTGAATCGAGGCGGACGAGAACAGAACTGGATTCTGTAGCCTCTTTCTACAGTACGCAGGACCCATTTCAGACACATTTGGCAGTAGCTTCCATGCTGCTAAATAATATACTAAGGGAATCAGTCTCTCGAGACTGATCTCTGGTGTGTCCAGAACGGCTAGTTCGGTGCCTTGAAGCGTCTGCACGCCGACAGGGGACAACTGAACTAGCTGCTCATGATACCTGCAACTGGCGAGCTCTTTGACGCCCTCCGTATCAATCTGCTCGGAGAAAAACAGGTGGAGCGTCGCACCCTCTCCCCGATGGGAAGGACCGCAGCGCGGTCTTCCGAAACCCCGAGAGCGGGCGCCGGATCTGATGATTAGGAAGCCGATCCATACGCGAAACCCACGAGCACAGCCGCCGCTCCGCCTAGGCGGCTTGCTCTCGCCCTTGAAATGCTTTGTCTTTGCATGAGCTTAGACATAGCTGGAGCTTATAGACTTTCACAATTGACAGACAACAATAAATATGACTGACACACACAGAGCGCTTCGCTGAATGACAGAAAGCTGACGCTGGCTCCGCCGCACGTGCTTTTATAGCTTCCTGGTCATGACGTCACCCGCCCGTGACGTCCCGCTCAGCTATTGGACTGATTTCACATGTTATTCAGAGCGTGGTCACAGAAGGCGTTCCCCTAGCGTTTTCCGACGCAGCTTGAGTTCCTGAAGAGTGGAACTATTATTTAGTGGCACTTACCTGACGCGTGAACTTGACAAGATGGCGCTGCTGTTTCTCCTGCGAAGTCACTCAGGCTCGTGCACGTGCGGAATGATCTCAGTGTTGACTGGATTTGTTTTTATTAGTTTAGTCAACATTGGCGGTCTGAATTGTTGACTGGATTTGAAAATAACCCTTCATTAAATGTCTTTAAAATATATTTTTGTACATCTTATCAACTAAGCCCAAGCAATAAAGTTAGTTCAACTTATTAATATTTTAACTTATTAATATTTTTGGCCTGCCAACATTTTGTTAATTGGATTTTTTTTACAGTATAAGTAATAAATAATTAAATAAGTAAAGCAGTTAATAGCTGCACTTTTCCATACAAACAAAACATTGAAGTTGTTAACCCTGGCGTTCTCCTACCTAAATTTTGATTTATCCTACAAAGAGGAACTACAATCACTACAAAAATGGATGACATACATATAAATCCATTCTGCTCTTATTTTATGAACAAGTCCCGATGTTTTTTTGTGTGTGAGTGAGACAAATGAAATCCACTGTTACATGAAGCTACCTCTGCCAGGTGTCCTTATAAATATGCACATATATTCTGCAGCTATGAGCTTAACTTAACCTAAAAATTACGCATATTATTCGTTTTTTTATAGAAATAATTATAGAAAATAATTTAATCACACCACTGTTTCTTTAATAAAAACACGAATAGTTCCCGATTGGTCACCAGCTATCATGAACTGTTATGAAAACTGATCATGTGGGAGCAACTACAACAGCTCAATGTCCCTTTGGTAACAAACAATGCAGTAATGAACTGTGCTACATATTTCACTATCAGTTATATCAGTGATGGGCAAACTTGGCCCTTCCAGGCCACTTTCCTGCAGAGATTTGATCCAACCCTGATATGACTCACCTGCCTGTAGCCTTCTAGTAGTCTTGAAGACAATGATTAGCTGGTTCAGGTGTGTTTGATTAGGGTTGGAGCTAACCTCTGAAGGAAAGTGGCCTGGAAGGGCCAAGTTTGCCCACCCCTGAGTTATATTATCGAGTGTTTTTCCTTTCTTTGACACTGACATCAAAATAGCTTGCATTGCAAGTTTTGTTTGTATTTGCAGGGAGTATTTTTGTTACGTAATTTCTTGGCAGTTTGTTTTAAAATGTGATGCGCAATTATTACGCAATTTAAGGAATTATAATTATAGCGCATGAGTTGATTTGTAAGGTTTAGATAAACTTGCAGAATTAAAGGTGTGTTTTGAACATGTTTCTGTGTTTATTCTGCTCACACGTTTTGCAAGTCAAATGATTTTTGTTTTTATTTCAAACACTAAAGAATAACTTTTGACATCAAGCGAATTTTGGCATCAAGCAAAACTGCGGAAATAATGATAAACCAGTTTTCAGAACACTAGCCAATCACCTCCTCTGGTCAGGAAAACAGAAAGATGTGATAGTTTAAGCCAATGTTGCTGTGTTGGGCTGGTCGCAATGCTCAAACAAATGAACTAATGTTTTGATAGAAACATAGAGCCACACTGTAAAAAAAAAATCTGTGACATTTGCGGTAAAATACTGACAGCTGTGTTTGCCAGAACTTTACCGTAAAAAAAAAAAATTGGTGGCAACATTTTAGGATTTACAGACCTAACTTGAATTCATAGTAAAAAAAAATGTATTTCATTAACTGATATAATGTTAATATACTGACCTATTGAAGTACTAATATCTGTTTTGATTGTAATACAATGATAACCAGTGTTGGGGGTAACGCATTACAAGTAACGCGAGTTACATTTACTTTTGCTTCAGCCTGAGGTTTATTCATTACACTTTTTGGTGTGAAAGGACTTTTACATTTGCTATAAATAGAACTTCTTATATTAAAAACAATCTAGCCCTGTTCATATTTAAAAAGTAACGTGAAAGTAACGCAAAAGTAATATAACGCATTACTTTCCATAAAAAGTAACTAAGTAACGTAATTAGTTACTTTTTTAGGGAGTAACGCAATATTGTAGTGCATTACTTTTAAAAGTAACTTTCCCCAACACTGATGATAACCACCAAAATAGGTGGTGATGCGAAAGTGGTGATGGTCATTTGTTTCTATGTTTTTATAAAACTGCATAGATTATTCAGAAATGGTAAAGTAGAACAGATATTCTATATTCCTAAATAAAATTGATCATGCCAGTACATCTCACGATATATTTCTATTTTTAAACATTTTCATGACCCTGATATAGTTCACTTATATAAAGTGCACTAGATGCATAATAATAAATTAGTTGGCTATATATATATATATATATATATAATTATTTTTTTTAAACATATATAAGGTATAATTCAGTAAATACAGTACATTAAATGCATACCTATTCAATACATACTTTTTTGCATTAAATACTTCCATATACATCACATACTTAAATACAAATATATTTGCTTTAAATAGACGTCTTACCTGTTGGTATTGATCTACCAATCAGTAAAGCCAATCCAATAAATATAATAAATCGAAACATCTTTCAGGTTTTTAGCTACCAAACCTAATACCAGAAAAACGACCTCTGAGAAGCAACCTAACATGAGGAATGCAAACATAAAGGGTAATCCTCTTCTTCTGCCTGGAATATGACTGAAGACTGATGTGTTTGACATCAAACTAAAGCTTGTTGTTGAACTCCACCCACCAATTCATTTGTACTAATATAACAGGTTCTCAGAGTAAGTCCCTAAGAGTTTAGTGAGACTTTATTTTATTTTTTTAAATAAAAAATGGGGACTCATTATTCAATTTCTTATCCTGATCATCAAATGTTTGTGAAACTTGTTCAATTTATGTCTCAGCTGTTTAACTTTTATATGTTAATACCAATATCTACGCATTAAGAAATTTGTTTTCATTCAAGTTTTCTTCACTAAGTGTTTTACTATTTAATATTTCATTTTCTTTACAAAAATCTAATTTGCAGTAAGCCATTAACTCATAAATGCTTTTACTGGAAAATACTAACAATGCAAAACTTTACAGACTGGTTTGTAGGTTTTTAACACATTCTCACTGAAGACCCTCAGCTCCCATTATAATCAGGAGAATCATTTGTGACTGCAAAATGTGCCAGTTGTGTCTACTTAAAACTCTTATCTACTAATTTTTATAAATCAGAGTAGATTTTGCATATGACTACAACATGTTGCAAGTCAGTAATTAAACTTGCAGCAAAATTTCAGTATGAGGAAACATCACGTAATCAGTCATTCTCTGTAACATTCCATTGACTGTATGCTTGTTATTTAAGAGGGGATGAAAAGCTTGATGCATTTATAATCTATATCATTGTCATCTATAATCTTGTCATTATAATCTGTCATCCATGTTTCTTAATAATCTTGATGAAATAGCCGTAGAAGAGATGAGATATAAAGAAGCAGAGATTCTTTTAGGCCATTCAAACTATTTGAATTAAATTGGTTTTAAATGCAAGTATATGTGAGGAGAAAATTAACTGATACGTCATTGACAAATATCTTCTCATAAGAGAACAGTATGTTTATTTAGGTTTCTCCATGGCTGACTCTGGTTAATCAGCATTTCATTGAGTAGCTATCTGAATAATTGCCAAGTTTCTACAAGCTTCACCTTTTTCAAGGTGAACATTGTTACCAAGTGTGACTTCCCCACATATACTAACTTCTTCCTCATTAGATAAATGTAAATGCACATATCTGGTGGATTACAATTACAGAAGTAGACACTTTGCTGAAAATGTACTCACCCTCAGGCCATAAGTTGTAGCTCAAGTGAGCCAATAATGTTCAGTTTCTCCAAATCTGTTTAGATGAAAAAACAAACTCATCTACCTCTTTGGTGGCCTGAGGGTGAGTACATTTTCAGCTAATTTAAATTTTTGGGTGAACTATTCCGTTAAGATTAACCTTAGCAAAATAAGTAACAATGTTATGTTGGTCAAAATAATTGAGAAAATAATTGTCAGAGATCTTGAAGTCAAAAACATAAATATATTTACAATCTATTTAAATATAACACATCACCTAAAAACAGCATCAGATTTTATCATTGAATGATAAATATCAAATTAATAATGTGAATGATGTGGCCTTGTGTAAAGTTTTTTTTTTTTTTTTTACACAAATGCATTTGATTATAATTTGCCAGTGCTTCAACATGCTATTATTGTAAGGAAGTTTTCCATCATATCCTTAGGCCAACAATTTTCTTGATTTCTTCACAGTAATCTTTATGGTCCCATTAATGTTTGCTTGAAAGTGCTTGACAAACTGCAATGAAAAAAAATTAAATTAAATGTACAGTAATATTTGTTAATTTAGCCCCCAAAATAAAACGTCTCAGGTTACTTATGTAAGTCATGGCTGTCGCCGGCCAACGTGTTGTTGGTGTTTTTTCAATGTATGCTTCAGACATGGGTCACGACGAGACGTTCCCCATAGCGACCCCTAGAGGACGCAGTTCGAAGTTCCCATGAAAGGGAACAATAGGTTCTATATCTAATTATTATTACTAGCCAGATATTTTTCTTCTTGTAAATATTGGAAATGAATACAACATGTAGGTACAATTCAGGCTGAATGTATATATATATATATATATATATATATATATTTCTGA